GAAGCACTGGGATTAATCACCTGCTTTAAGGCTAATCACACAGTGAAGTGCTTTTCTGGGCTAGGCCCATTTGCAGGTGATGAAAGGGCTCACAGATACCCAGTGCAGGCAGGGCAGGATGGAGGATTACTGTCTAATGATATTAAGAGCCTTTTATCTTGGATGGCTTATGAGAAATTAAATCCTAAACCTGCCGCTAACCCTTCCAGTCATAGGGGAGGTTCTCAGAGCTGGTCCCCGCACACGGTTCCAGCCCTTACAGCAGCATGAGCTGCATGGATAATGTTAGGAAAGAAATGTTGATTCTTCCTTACTGCACCCTCGGTGCTATGGTGCTGCTGGTGAGTGGGAAGGACTCCACCATCAGCCTGTGTTGTCCTCCAGGTCAGGGAAGGAGGAGGCCGAGGAGCTGTTTTGCCCATGTTGGCTGCACCTTCCAGCCTGATTCCCCCTGGTCACTGCAGCCCGGGCAGGGCTGGGTGCCCTGATAGGTGGGGGAACAAGCCCCAGGTGCTCTCAAGGCTGCCATGGATGTGGTTAAAAATTTAACCATGCAGAAGGTCACTTCAAGATGCACAAGTTGTCTTTTGCAGGTATCCCAGGATGACGGCCTGAGAGACCCCAATGTGCCCTTGCAACAGAACATTTAACACCTCTGTTCCCCCATCCCTGAGACATTCCAGTCTCAATGAGGACACAGCGTGTGCAGAGCATGCCGCCCTCCCCTTCCCACGCTGCTTCCCAGCCTGGTCGGAAGAGGAGGGTTTCTTTCCTGTCCCGTGTGCCCTGTCCATGTGCTGGCGCTGCCAAGACACATCACGGTGCGAGAACCAGCAACAGCGGGAAGGACAAACCTCTGCTAGATGGATTTGTTGTATGTGTGTGCCTTCAGGTTTGCCTCCAGCATCGCCCTTACCGACTGCTGCTGGTTTGCTCACAACAGATTCCAACTAGGAGCGTGTCCGAATGTGCTGAGTGTTACTGCGCCAGGTAAAGAAGATCAGATTTGGCTGCAGCGGATTTCCAGTTTGAGAGTGTTGAGGGTGGTGGTGGAATTGTCCAGAGGAATTACAAATCCCTGTGTGTTTTCTGCTTCCCAGGCTCTTCACCACCATCCAGGGCAGGAACTCCCACATGAAGATCCACCGCTGCCAGCAAAAGCAACCACCCTTGGGCTGAGCTCCTCCTCCAGCACTGCGATAACACCAGAGCGCAGCAGCCCTGTTCTAGTTTTAGACTCCCTCCCACTGTTATTTTCCTTGTTATTGTCATTGTTGTTGATGTTCTATATTGTTGTTTGTAGTAGCAATAGTATGACATCGTAATAACAGTAGTATCACATTGTCTTTTTGTTATTACTAGTAGTACTTTAGTTGTTGTTATTAAAGTACTTGTACTTTAGTTGTTATTAGGAGTAATAGTATTCCACTGTACATTAGTAGTAGTATTATGTTGAACTGAAATTATTATTGTTGGTAATAGTAGAAGTATTACATTACCCTTTAATTATTATTATCAAGACTAGGAACATTCTGTTGTACTTTATTTATTAAACTGTAATAATTAGTACAGTTATTTATCATTAGTAGAAGTATTCCATTGTACTTTATTTAATCCCATCGGCTGCAGGTGCTGCCCATCCGCTCAGGATCTGTCCCGCTGTG